CGAACACCTGGATACATCTGATTTATTTTGAGAAAGTTCTAGAAAATAAAAAAATGTGTATACACATAAATTAACAAATCCCGATCGTTATTATACCAAAATTATATTTTTTAGTTATTTACACAGTCATTGACCTACAGAAATTAATATTTCTGAGCAAAGCCGGGTAGCGCGTTAAAAAAAATAGTAAAACTAGAGTTGTTTTTACATAAAGTAACAGTTTACATAAAAGTATTTGTTTCGTTATAGTTTTTAATATTTTATGGCACTGTCTATTTTATAATATTATACATAAAAGTAGTAAAATGCTGAATCATTTTTTATGTGTGCAAATGTTTGAATTACTTAATTGTGTTGGGAATAATATTTAAATGAACCGTCGCGTTACTTTTATCGTTTTAAACTGACAAGAATAATATACATTTTAACGTTGAATATTAGTATGATTATTTATTTTTTAACTGTGAAAATCATCACTGACTTGTCGACTTACTTTATTTCAACTAATTCAACCTAAATTGTAAAAATACAGTTTTAATCATGTCACAATGCTTTGATACATATTCGCGTTGAAGCTTTCATCACTTTCGGTTGTATGTAATAGTTCCTGAAAAACCAAGATTGTGCTGGCTATTTTTTTTTTTTTGTTGAGATTATTGACGAGATTCCGAATCCCGAGAAAGATGTCGTTCGGCGATCAAATTGGAGTTTTTTTTTTTTTATAAATGAATTTAAACCAACCGTTAATTAGCTCTCGGTCGTCACTCGAAGACAGACAACCGTCCGAGTGATAGATTCTGTGTAAAATGAACGTAATGAACGTACAGTTTTGCACACAATGATTCTTCATTATCCACAACCGCCAGTAATTCGTTACACACCTCGTTGAACGACAGCCTATATAGTTGTCAGTGACGAATGGCCGTGCCGCCACACCAAACCGAAAAGAAATCAATCTTGTTTATTGTATCCTCTTCACAGAGGTACACGATAATAATAATAATAATAATTAAACGAATCGTTGTATACAGGGTGTTCTAACATGAAAGGTGAAAATAGGTGAGAGTAAATAGGTGATTGGACATCTGGGGACCCTCAAATAAGCCCCCCGTTTTTATTTTTTCGATAAGTAAAAAAATAATGACTTAAAAAAGAAAAAAATATTTTTAGTTATTCAGTGCAAAAAGGTCACCTTAAAAGAGGGAGGGGTCACATCATTTTCAGTCCTTTTCGGGCCCTAACTCAAAAAATGACAAGAGATAAAAAATAAATGGTAAGTGATAAAAGATAATTGATAAGAGATAAATAATTAGAAACGTTAGGTTTGTTCGTTTTGTCAAAAATTGTACACTTTTTCACAACAAGTGTACATCAAACCGTTCGTTTTTAAACTAATTAGTGTACATTTTTTTTCAAAACGAATAAATCTAATAGATAAGAAAAGTGATAAGAGAAAATACATTTTGAGTTATGTGCCGAAAGTAACTGAAACGATGTGACCCCTCTTTTAAGGTGAGCTTTTCGCACTGAATAACAGGAAACACCCTGTATTTACCTACTGTTTTTATTGCGGGATAAAACGGCGGCAATGGGAAAGCAAAAGTGTTTGTAAGGGTTAGCGGCCGCAAGCGGTTAGCCAATAAATCAGAATTCAATTTTGAAGGGTAAAAAAAAATAAGAAAAAAGGGTAATATTTTCCGGAATGAGCAGAGTCGACAAACCGCACACAAAACCGAAGACCGTTGCTAGTAATATATTATACCAATATATATATATACCTCTACCAGTAATATATATATATATATATATATATATAAAGTGCATTAAATCTCCATGTGTCAAAATATCCTCCCCCAAAAGATATCTGTCCAGTTGGCAAACTGCGAACGGCAGCTTAGAGAGAAAGCAAAAAAAAAAAAATAATAATAATAATAAGAAAAATAACAAACGCAAAACTTATACACGACCAAATGTTGTCACATGTAAAACTAACACTAAGACTTTTTACCATGTTTGTAATCGACTTTTGAAGGTTTAGCTACCACTAATAACAGAAATCAATTTAAAACAACTGAAAAATGTAATGTAATTTATTCAAACAAAACTGGTTGTGTTGAACTTGCAAAGGTAATGTGCATAATATATTGTGTAATTCTAATTTGTTGTTTTAATAGGATTGTATACAATTTTTGATATTCCTGGCACTTATCCCGGAAACCTGACATGTCATCTTCCCCACATTAAATCCCTGAAATGTAAAGGATTAATTTTTACGAGGGTTCTGGCTCGCCTCTGCCCCTGGATTCCCACTGTCACAGAATGACATTCTTCCAATTGTGGCATTTAATTTTATTTGTGTATAATTATGATAAAATATTCCGTTATTTATTTCTCTCGTTTCTTGTAACTGTTTACTATTTTTATTGTGCAGCATTTGATTTAAATAAATTAACAGTATTGTCTCGGACTGACACAAGACAATCACTGTACTAACAAAGTTATATGAAACAAATATAAAACGTAGAGTTTTAATCATGAAATGTTAAAAGACACAAGTGTTAGAGATACAATATGTATTACTTTAAGTTTATTCAGAGGTAGACTACTAGGAAAATATATATTTTTAAAACGAAGATGGTCAACACGTTATTAATGATGTTCATAATTATCATAGTTTAGCATTAAAATATATTAAGTATTCTTGTAAATTTATAACGATTAATACAACACAGCGGTTCATTAAAATATTCTCAACACAGTAATTATAAAATATAAACCCTTCTCCTGCAAAAAAAAAAAATAAATACTCAGCTTTCTGCTACAACTATTCAACTACTTTTATGTATAGTTATTAGTTATAAAATAGACAATGTCATGAAATATTAAAAACGATAAAGAACCAAAAGGTTACTTTATTGAAAAAAAAAAAATAAAAAAAAAAAAGCCAGCACAATCTCGGGTTTTTAGTAACCATTATACAACTGAAAGTGATGAAAGCTTTAACACGAATCTGTATCAAAGCATTGTACAAAACCGTGATGTGTTTAAAATTGTATTTTTACAATTTAGGTTGAATTAGTTGAAATAAAGTAAGTCGGCAAGTCAGTGATGATTTTCACAGTTAAAAAATAAATAAACATATTAATATACAACGTTAAAATGTATATTATTCTTGTCAGTTTAAAACGATAAAAGTAACGCGGCGGTTCGTTTAAATATTATTCCCAACACAATTAGTAATTCAAATATTTGGACACATAAAAAATGATTCAGCATTTTACTACTTTTATGTATAATATTATAAAATAGACAGTGCCATAAAATATTAAAAACTATAACGAAACAAATACTTTTATGTAAACTGTTACTTTATGTAAAAGCAAACTCTAGTTTTACTCCATTTTTCTTTAACGCGCTACCCGACTTTGCTCAGAAATATTAATTTCTGTAGGTCAATGACTGTGTAAATAACTAAAAAATATAATTTTGGTATAATAACGATCGGGATTTGTTAATTTATGTGTATACACATTTTTTTATTTTCTAGAACTTTCTCAAAATAAATCAGATGTATCCAGATGTTCGATTTTAGGCTGAATTTTAAGTCCAAAAACAAAATCGATTCGTATGATGTGTGTAGTAGTCTCGGTTTAGTTGCTACATTTAAACAGTGCAGACAGTCTGTTAGTCTCCGATAGTGGACTTTGCAATAGTCAGAAATGTCATTGCAAAAACTAACATCTGCATATTATAATTGTAAAATGTTGAAAATAATTTACAAATATTGTAACAGCAATTTTCATCGACAAATATCGTTTTCTTAATTATGGTAATTGACGGTAAGACGATTGTCTACGACGATTTGTTGTCTCACTAATATTTACATCACACGCAACGCAATTTAAAACATTGTTTTGATTAGACACAAAATAAGTGGTTGGCAGTTTACATGTATTAAAAAAGCAGTTTCGTTTGAGAAATGTATTGTAACACATTTCCATAAGTCTCAGCTGAGATTTAAAACGTAACAAGCTGCATAATATATATTTTACATTTTACAATTTTATACAACTTATTGTGTTTGTAATATTGTTTTATCAAGTTTTAGCAGTTAATTTTCCCCTTTGGGTTTTCTTTAATAAAAAAAAGTTTGACTAAAGATTTTTAAGAAAATCTATTGTTATAGCCCTATTCTAGATCTACATTCAGTCTAACTATCAGACTTGAATTCTTAAAACTATTAGACCTTAATAGAATAGTCTTTAATAAATTATATAGCATTCATGTCTTTAAAATATATACATATATATATTATATATAAACATAATAAAAAACCATTTTAATACTCGGGTAACTATAAGTAATATGTTTTTACTAAATAAATTAAATTTCTATATAATTATTATATTATATCTTATGTACTATAAATATTATAAATTAATCACTAACCAGTAATTTTATAATTTATGTGACTAAACTTTGTTATTAAATTTTACTATTAAAACTTTTAATTAAATAGACAAAAAAATGTATTGTATAATAATTAATTATGTTTCAAAGAAAAGTTTTTTTTAATGAGTTTAGCTATCAATAATTGTATATTATTAACTGTTTGGCAGTAGTATAATAACAAATAGTGTAAATTTGTACTTGGAATATTCAATTTCATCAGTCCCTGCCGTTAAACAATGTTAAAATGTTAATTTTGTTTAATTAATTAAAATTTCATTATCTTCAATGTGTGTATAGACACACATTAAAAAACCGTTAAACACAAGTTATTATTTTTTTTTTCTAAGAAAATATTCGTAACTGAAGTTTTTGTTCCTGTATATGTTTTTTTGGTTTAGTATTTTTTTTCCCCATTACATTTGGGAATACTATGAAATTTTGTTCGGTACCGACAAATTGTATAATATTTCACATTTCAAAAAAGTGACAGAACGAATGTCAGCTTTACAGCATAAATCACACAAAAATAGCAAAACATTAAACGTTACCTGATAAACCTTCGCCAAGATTCCAAAAAGTCTTTGGTGACGCAGGGATAAGGTGAATTTTCTCGCGAAGGAATCGGTCGCTTCTTGTTTAACAGCAAATCACTCAACAGTTCTTTTTCAGTCATGGCTGATTGCTTGTGAATATTTTTCGTAATCTCGCCTTGATTGTGCATGTTCTAAGTGTGCAGAAAAAACAGTTTACAGTTTTTAAATATAATGTTTGTGTTTAATTTTGAAAACAAATTAAATATAAAATAATTACTCGACAATAATGACAAGGTTCGATTTCTTTATTAAATATCGGTGCTCTGGGGAAGTACGAATGAAGGATGTTCCACACGGTTTCCGGAATCAAACGCTTGACGTTCTGTTCGATGGTCAAGTCACCGTGAACACACGTGATGTCGTCGTTGAACACCCAAGACATACATTCTTTGTCGTGTTTCACATCCAAATAATCGGAATCTTCGTGTTTGTCTTTTTCTTCTGGGCTTACGTCTTCGGCGTCCATTCTGTCGTCGTCTTCTTTGTGTTCGTCGTCCGTTTTCGAGTCGCTCTCGATGGAAATTTTGCTCTCGCATTTGGAATTCACCTCGGTTTTGATTACGTCGAGATCGTGCTTGTTGTCGATGGATATTTCTCCGTTAACTTTCCTCGCAATCACCGAAGTCAGTATGTTCATCATTTCCACCAATACCGATTCCAATTCGAGCAGGGATATGTGAAACGGCTGGAACTTTGTAAGTTGCAGCGTTTTGAAAACTGTCTCCGAATTGTTGATCAACATTCGGGCCAGCTTGAGACTCTGATCGACGGACCCGAGCGTAATTCCACCCATTTGAGCCGGCTGACAATTGGATTGAGATCGAACACTGCTATTGTTTTTGTCGTCGAAACTGTTATTCGAGTCAAACACCGCCGACAATACTTCGGGGTTGAGCGGAAGAGTTATGCCCGGCGAAACATCGCGGTTTTGGACGAAATACTCAAACAACTGTAAATACATGCGACGCCAATTTTTTAACGAATCCTTTCCGACCCAATAACACGGCTTATTTCTGTAAATAATAACACAATTTTAATACCAAAATTACAAAAAAGTTATTGATATTGGTAAAAAAAAAAATATCCATCGATCAATTAGAAATATACGAAATCATACTCTGAGATATTAATAGGATTCCAGTTTTGTAAGAGTGTGTTTATGGTCTTGTTTTGTTCAGAAGTCACAGTTTTCGTGTACAGTAAGGCACACTTATTCCGTACACATTTCAAACACAAAGAAGTCTTCAGTTTCAGTCTCGGACCGCCTTGGAATATTCCGTACAGTTTTTCGGCCTAAACATGATCAAAAGTAAATAAATTAAACGTATTGTATTTAGAACTGAACTTAGACAGGGTATTGGACTTTGAAAAAATTTAACATTTTTAATTTCAATGATCAAATTGATTTTAAACACGTACCAATTCGGTTCTAATAAATTTAACTTCAGAGACTTTGTCGGGGTCGAGCAGATCATGTTTGCACAACACGGCTAGATTGCTGATTTCGTTGACGCTTTGATTGGGAGTAATTTTGAACCAATAGTTCAACCACTGCAACGAAATCGCTTCCATTTCGTCTTCTTTTACAGACACCACGTTCATTTCGGTGATTAGGTTCAACATTTGTTCGACGAATTCCTTGTCTTTATCCTCGACGTACTCACGATTGCTTTTTATGTTCAATATGGTGTTTTCAAAGTTATCGTTACGGGCGTTGACCAGGTGCGCCAACCGAGGCGATAGCTTCCAGTCGTAAGACTCGGTTTTCAATTTTTTCACCATGCTGATGTGCATGTAAACCAACATGTAAGCGTTATTCGTTTGTAGCATACCCTTTTGGATCTTGGGAGCTTTGGCTATTTTAGAACCGTTTACTTTGAATTCGTCTTCTGTGCACAAATTCAAACCTTTGCCTTTGAGTTTCTCTACATTTTCGTCGTTGATCTTGTACCACTCTTCGGCGGCAATATCGTTTATATGAGCTAAACAAAAACACACACAACATTAATAAAAATTACACAAATGTCGAAGCTAAATTTTTTTTTATTTTGGTCAATCGGAAAAATAAATTAACTATACACTTTTTTTTTGGTAAACCCATTTGAAATCGGTTTGAAGATATTTGCTAAACCAATTTTGCAATGCAATATTGGAAACCGCTCAATAATTTTATTTTTTTAATTTAAATTTAGAATTCATATTTTTAATGAATGAAAATTGTTTACTAGTATTTACAGGAAAAAAAAAGGAGTACAAACAAATATTTATTTTTGTGTACTCAGCTGGTGAAATAACAACAAAATGTTTGTAATTTGTTTTTCTTTTGACGCGCCGAGTACAAAAGTAAATATTTATCAAGCTCAAACGACGTACAGTACATAAGAAAAAAAAAAGTACAAACCTATATAGTGGCCGGAATATGCGCTTGAGCCTTTATGAATGAGCACTGCACACAAATTGTACATGTGTTTTTCTTTAGACGCTTCATCGAGTTGAGACGGCAAATTCAAATACTTGGCCATGTCTAACGTCTGCGAAAACTGTATGTAAGTGTTTAGTTTTTTCTTCTGCATCGTTTGCCTGGACAAATATCAATATGTACAAAAATCGAGTAAAAACAATGGCGTATAACAAAATAAGCAATTTACCTGTCGTATACGAAACGCATGAATTGAAGATTCAGTACAGGAGGTAAATTCGTTAAACATATTCTCCTGACGGCATCTTGTTTGCTATTACAATAGTTACAGTAGTACTGATTGTCCCCGGTAAGGTGTTCTTCTTTGAGAAATTCTTGTAGACTATCGTTTAGCGACTTATGGCCTTTGATGTTCAGATCCAGTTCGTAAAACGTCGACAGCTGCGTAGATTCTAATTTACAATTCACACACCTAATCCAAACATCCGTTCAGCTATATTATCGGAAAATATAATTCAACCATACTGTCTTACGTGGTAATGTATTTGTATTCGCCGAGGAAATTGTCTTTGACCATATCCCTGACCGAGGTGTCCGACTGAGTGCTGAATTTGCTTTCTAACATGGACAAGAATAAATTTGAAAATTCCTGAAAAAAAAAAACAATTTTGCTATCGTAGTTTTGTGTAACGAGAAAAAACAATTGTATACTTACGTGGGCGTCTTGTTGGATGCCCGTATTAATTCTGAGAGTGGTAATAAAATCGCCTGGGTCCACCGATCGTTGTATACCGCATTGCATGAGCGCAAACACTAATTGCAAGTGGCCGACGCTAGTCTCCGGTGTGTAGGCATCTTCAACATACAAAGTTTGGTTTTGTTTCTCCCCAGAGTCTTCTTCTGGATTCCAATTGAAAATAGCTTTCCTAAAAAATGTGATACGTACGGTTTTTAAAACGTGTTGTGCCGATTTTTTCAACAAAAAAAATTATCGACAAACTCTTCTTACCTAAAGTTAATATTATGAAACCATAGTTGCAGTAAACTGTTAATATAACAAGTAGCACCTAAGTTTTTTAAACCTACAAATTTATTATTCTGACGACGCTCCAGTTCGGGGTCTTCATAATCAGGAACGGGCGTTCGCACTTTGTCTTGTAGCCAGCGTTGTTCGCCGAGTCCCGATAAACAATACGGATTGTTTCTACAATTGCGCCTAAAAACCATACAATTTTTTTAATACAACACACAAAGTGTACAATGTAAAAATATTTTAAATTACTAAAACATTACACTGTTAGAAACCCAAAATAAAATTATACTTCTAGCCAACTACAGTCGTATCAAAAATACAAAAAAAAATAATCAAAACGCAACAGTTAAGTTCAATAAAACTCGAACCGAAGAAAAATCGAATTAGCAATTTAAACTATAATGGAGGTAGTTTTGTGCGAATGAATGATGCGTTAATAATATAAATATATACACAAACTGTTGATGAGTTATTTCAAATTCATAATTTTAGTCATTAAGAAAAAACTAACAATAATGTATAATTGTATTCAGTTAAGTAATGTGAATTGTTGTTGGAAATTAATTATTAATCAAATAAATGCGATAGAAGAAATGAAGAGAAAAACTAATTAAACAAACAACAAATAAAAGAAAAAATAATACAGTACAATAAAATGTAGATATTTTTATATCGGTCATCGTTGATTGTACACTGTTGTCCTCCAGATATTCATAAACAGACTTTATGATATGAAACTATTATTTTAAACTTTGTTTTGGAGTTAGTCTTTGCTTGATAGGCTTAAGATTTTCAATTTTATAGAAAATTTAAGAATTTAAGAAAAAAATAATATAAGTATATCAATAAAAAGTACAAAAAATCTTTAATTTGATAAAGACGCTCTGCAGTAGAAATTTTAATAACTATGTCGTTTTACCAAAACCAAAATATCAATATTTATGATAATTTATAACGAAATTCTAAGTAATGCAATAAAAGTAAAAGTATATAATATGTATAACATTTCTTCAACGTATCCTTAAGACCCAGTCAAGTATACTTTTAATAAATTTAACAACACCAACGACCAAATTTGGCACCAAGCATTTTGATAATAATAACACGGTATACATATTATGATGAACATTGGTCTCCCTTAAGAGGTATGTAATTTGATTCGATTATTTTTATCACGTTGACGGACATTCACTGCTATAGTAGTCATAATCTTTTAAGTTGCGATTCGTTAATGACTGCTATAACAGTTAAATTTTTGAAAGTCGTAAAATAGAATAACTGCTATTGCAGTGGCTGTTGTTATGGCTTCACCGTGTTGGGAATTATGCAGTGTCCAATTGTGACTTAACAAAAGGTCGGGCAAATGTTTATCAAATTTTTTAAAAATAAATTGTATTAATATTATTTTGTATGGCCTCTTGTGGATTAACAATCTTATTTGTTTAAAATTTTTACTCATTTGTTGTTAATTATAATTTATTTCATTGATTATGTGCCATGAAATAAATGAAAACCCATCATTATAGGTAATTTATTTATGTAACTGCTATAGCAGTCACACGACCATATAAAAAGAAAAAAAGTTTTCAAGGGACTCGAACTGCTATAGCAGTGATATATTTTTATGTTAACAATGTATTTAGATCACAATTTGTAACAGAAAAGCTCTAACATTTTTTGTCATAACTATGATAGCTATTGAGATATGAGAGTGACACTAATATTACGGTCATGCGCATAACTGATATAGCAGTCATGTCCGTCAATGTGTTAACAGTCATCTATAATCTTGTTTCAAAATTAAAGCGTACTTACCGACAAGAGAGCGGCTTGCATTTTGGATAATTGAGACGATACGCTTTGCACAGGTGTTCGTAGTCTATGTCGTTAGGATGTGTACTTTCGGCCCACGCCCACGGACTCTTCTTTTCGTGGTCTTGCCGCTTTTTCGCCATCTCGAGCGCACCATATACGACGGTAGGTGTACAACGGCCAACGACGGCAGACACCAAAGACAACGGCTATCTGAAAAAATTGTAAACAAACGGCAAAAATCGTGATAACATATTATGATTTTGTACATTGAAAAATGTATAAAAAATATCAAAACTGAAAAGAATTTTTTTTTTTGTTTTCTTATACTTACAAGAAAAAGATACCTTTTTAAATTTTCGGTGGAATCGTCGACTGTACACCGACAGTGGCGATTATTCACGGGCAATTAATATTCAACTGCCGTCGGGCGCGATGGATATCCGAAAAGCGGTAATTGCTAGCACGGGCTTTCATCAAGAACCTTTTTCTTTTGTGATAAATGGATAAATAATATGGCTTTCATAATATTGAAAACATACGATATCCAGTCGAGCATTGGCGTACAATTATTTTATTTTTATTATCGCAGCAACAACAACATAGGAAAAAAGCCGCACACACCAAAACGACCAAATGTTGTTTAGGGGTTCGCAAATTTTTCCGCATACTATCCGAATCTCTGTGTTCGACATGGCCTAACCTGACCTAACCCGTTTCGCGGTAAGCCGGTAACCGCACACGTGGTTGATACCGTACGTTACCGGCACCCGCGGCCGGATGGGTGACCGACATAATTGCGAATTTCGTCTAAATGTAATATATATATTTTTTTTTTAAATAATTGACATTTAAAGTCCAATTTATAATGTAGATAATAGATATTTCTCATAGAAACTGTAAAAGTTTTTAAACTTTAAGATTAAGGACGGAAGGCAGGGTGGAGTGTAGTAAGTATTTCAGTCCTTAATTTTAAACTTTAATCATTTTTATAGTTATTATTAAAATGTTAAAAAAATTATTCTAAATTTAAAATGTTAACTAAATTTATACAAATTTGATAGTGCTGTGGACAAAAATAAATAATATGAAAATTTGAATTTGTATAATATTTTAAAAGAACATACACTAAAGTGTCTCCAAAAAAAGAAACTATAAAATTGCAACTATTTTAAGAGAAAATGAGTGTCTTATCCCCCCAGCTATTTTTTTTCAAGCAGCAATTTTCATAATCTAATATTTTTTAAGTATGATTATTAATTTATTTTTTTTTTGCAGGGAGTTGGACAGATGTGAAATAACATAATATTATGCATATTTTTTTTAACATAATTGATAAAACAATTTTTAACAAAACATGATTTTTTTAAAGAAAACACGACTCACGACGGTTATTTTAAGCATAAAACTAGCTATTTTTCTTTAATTATCCTATTTTGATTGTAACTGACACATACCTACGATTTCAAATACATGGTTTAAACTTTAAATATTTACTTATTTTTTAAAAAATTGATAGAATCTGAATTTGGCCTCAGAATTGTTGTTAGTAAGTATTTTTTTATTTTTAAATCGCCTCCGAAGTCATAAACTAACATAGGTATCAATCAAAAGTCAAAATAGTCTTTTGTCCACAATAGAACTCCCTAAAATACTACATTAATTCTAATAGGACAGTTCTGAATTGAGCAAAAAAAAAAATATTTAAAGTATTTGAAATAAACCGTAAAAAAATGAGGTCAAATTCGGTTTCGGCTAAAAAAAAACCCAAAACAGATAACGCAACAGTTAATTCTTATTTTTATTGAATGATAAATTAAGATAAGATTTGAAAATTAAATTAAAAATAGGTAGTTTTTTTCTTTCCTTCTCAACAAAAATATTTAAACGAAATAACTAAACAAAATATACAATTGGACAAGGTACAAACGCAGTATTGTCAATTGAGGATATTTAAATATTGTGATTTTTAATATTTTTATCAAATAAACATAATGATCAATTTAACATTAGACACGTTATTTCTCAAGTAATTCTTTTAATAGTTTATATCTTTTTGAAAATTATTTGTTTGTTGTTTTACAATTTGGTTAGAATATTATAAAATTTACAAACCGACCAAAATATCAAAAAAGGAAAATTATTTGTATTATTTTATCGTATTTTAAAATAACTAAAGTTTTTTTTTTTAAGGAAATTTATTATTTGATATTAGTAATAAATAATATTAATGTAAAATATTTTTTTTAAATAATAATTATATACAAATAAGATTTGCTAAAAAAAGTACCTAATCCGATTAATTCTAAAATGATAAATGTTGCGTAATTAGCTGTCAATAAACTTTTAATTGTTTATTAAATCATATATTTCAAAATATTACTTTATGCTATTTGCGTTTATACCACGTTTTAAAAAGGCATTTTGACTTCAAAGTATGAAGTACTCGAATGAAAAAAAAACGTAGCAAACAAATGAATTTTTTTGCATTTATATTTAATCAAATTTAAGAGCATAATTTTAAGGTTTTATTAATGCGTTGAAATCCGGACTTTACTTTTAAGTTTACAAGTAAATCTTTATTCATTTTTTCGGGTATTAACATGTTTTTATTTTTGTATTAATTGTAATTTGAAATTTTGAAATTTTGTTGATACTGATAATACTATCACAGAAACACCGAAGGGTAACTTTAAAAAATGACATGGGTTCTATGAACCGTCGAAAAAGCCTGACTGCAAAACAAAATGTCGCACACTTATCGTTCGCGGTCTAGGTTTCCCTTCTGGTTATTCTGTGATATTGTAAAAAGATTTCCGGTTTTGCCGCCCAGCTGATATTTTTGTCGTTTTTCGACATCATGAAAAAAACCAAGAGGTATGTCAACACATTGATAACGACAATATGGCTGCCAAGCGGTCGTTTATTTCTTACGCAAGAAAATCAGCGGCCGTATTATAAAAATTGATAACGTGACCTACCGACATACCTATTTGACTATTCCACGGTCGACTTAACGTTGTCTGTGTTCTGAGAACCCCTGCTCAATATTTTCCACCGGTGAGTTTGAGGTTACAGTTGATAAATTTGATAGCAAAGCAACGAGACGTTCTTCGCGTTGTTCTTAATGTGTGTGTAAGACAGTAAAAATTGCTTTAATTAAAAGTCGTTATTAGAAAAACACAAATAAATATTATTTTGTTGTACGTACGCAATCGTCATGGCTCAACAACAAATGAACGACTTTGTCAACAAAATGGGAGCTGCTAAAGGCTTGAGTTTAGGTGTCAAACTCGTCGCCGGTGTCGGCGTTATAGCCTACGGTGTGGCAAATTCAATGTTCACAGGTAAAATAATTTTAAAAAAACGCTTACATAATATTGTCGTCACTAAATCTATTATAATAAACAGTCCAATTCCATTATGTACGTATCGTCGTTTTCGATTATTGTTACAGTCGAAGGCGGCCATCGTGCTATCATGTTCAACCGTATCGGCGGTATTCAACAAACCGTGTTTCCCGAAGGATTACATTTTCGCCTACCTTGGTTTCAGTACCCCATCATTTACGATATCAGGTCGAGACCTCGTAAAATATCGTCGCCGACCGGTTCCAAGGATTTGCAAATGGTAGGTAGAATTTACTCAGATTTCTGTACCGTTGTAAAACAAAAATGGGACTGGACCCGACCAAACCTTGATTGCGGTTTGTCCGGGACCGGATTGATCTTTACGTTGTATGCTAATTTTTTTTTATTTATGCCAATTTTGTTACTACTTTTGAAAATCCACAGACTCGTCTGGTTAGATCTACTACTTAAGACTTTGGCGATTTTCGTTGCCTGCTTTTGTGTAACGACCTAACAGTTGATTACGCTATAAGAATTTTTACATGAGATTTCAGTAATATTTATTAAGAAATTTGATTATACATAATTATATATAAAATACCAATTAAAAAAAAACTACCTATTATTTATTTAAGGAAATAAATTATTATTATTTGTAGTATGTAATTTTTATTTTATATCACCTTTGAAATCGAACCAGTTATTTACATTTTACCACACCCAAACGTAATCCAACTTAAAAATGATTAAAGCAAACCATTTTAATAATAAATAAGTGATTTTAAAACTTTAAAAAAAGTACCTTATCAAAAAGAGTACTTCAGTCAAAAATTAATTAGAAAATATTATCAAGTTCAATTTTTGAACCAAACAACCCAAATTTGATTCGGTTCAGAGTCAAACAGTTTTGCCACATTACTAATTACTTGAACTGTTTATTATTTTAAAAAATTACTTAGGAATAAAAAAAATTGTTTTCAATATGTCATAATTTCATGTTTGATTTGCCAACAGGTAAATATTTCACTCCGCGTTTTGTCCAGACCCGACGCCATCAAATTACCTGAGATGTACCAACATTTAGGTATCGATTACGACGAAAAAGTTTTGCCGTCGATTTGTAACGAAGTGCTCAAGTCGGTTGTAGCTAAATACAACGCTTCACAACTTATCACGCAAAGACAACAGGTTAGATAGACTTGACATTTTTAATTATATCAATCCCAATAATAAAATATTTACATTTTTATTCAGGTATCGCTTCTTATAAGAAAGCAACTCGTAGATCGCGCACGTGATTTCAACATCATATTGGACGACGTCTCAATTACCGAATTGAGTTTCGGCAAAGAATACACAGCAGCTGTAGAAGCCAAACAAGTTGCCCACCAGGAAGCGCAACGAGCTGTGTTCTTCGTTGAACGGGCAAAGCAAGAAAGACAGCAGAAAATTCTACAAGCCGAGGGTGAAGCGGAAGCGGCAAAAATGATATCCTTTTAAACGGTGTTTGAAGAGAACTATTGTTAAATTTAATTATAATTCCTAAACAGTTTGAAAAATAATACCCACATTTAACTAGGTATCGAAGAATTAGGTGTTTGTTTAAAAAAATTTGTTTTGTCTTATCGTATTAACGTTGAATTTGTTCTTTCCTTAACTGTAAGATGTTCACTTGGGAGAAGCGATTGGTCGTAATCCGGGTTACTTGAAGTTGCGTAAAATACGAGCGGCCCAGAGCATTTCCAGAACGGTACGTACAATTTATAGTCGAGTCGAATGATATTGTATATATTTTTTTCTCAATAATATACTAATTAATTGTGTTTACAACAAATTTTTTTTTTAATTTAAAGATCGCCGGTTCTCAAAACAGAGTTTACTTGAACGGAAACGGTCTCATGTTGAATATTAGCGACCCTGCATTTGATGAACAAAGCGATAAGTTAAGAAGTAAGAAGTAGAAGTAAAAATTAATTTTTAATAACTGCATTGAAGCTAAAATTACGTAGTAGTCGAGTCATGGTAATTAAATTTTTTTTTTTATGTATTCCATCTCAATGTTTGTTTTTGTTTCATAAACAATTTATTAAGGGTACGAAGAATGTACTGTATTGTTTTAAAGATTTGTATGTTAAACACTCCAAAAAAAAAAAAAAAAATAGAAATGTAAAAGTTAAATATATAAGTTTATTAATAAAAATAAATATATTATGTGAAAAAAATACAGGGTGACTTTTTTTTTCTCATTATTTTAGGCGAATTGTATTACGTAGATCCAAATAACGTGCCGACTATTAACAATCGTTCCAACAGCAATGTTCTCAGTATTGCAACACATATTGTAGACAATCGTTTAAGGTAAAACCCAACCAAAACAATAAAAACCGATCTAACGTCTTAAACCAATCGTTTTTCTCTCTTTATAGTTTATATAAACATTTTTTTTTATCTTTTTTTGCCATTATATTACTTTTACTTTTGTTTTTCTTCTGTTATAATTTGTGCTGCTCGTTAAAACAAACTCTACTTAAAATTAAAAAAAAAAAAAAGACATTTATATATAATATTTTATAGACATAAAAAAGGTTTTGTTTATTTTCATACAAGCGTACATAGGTTGTGTCGTGTACACGACATCACAGTAAATAATAATAATAATAATAGTAAATCTAATAATATAAAAGGTAGGTAGGAAACGCCAAAGATTCGAAACAAAAATTTGAGCTATTTGAGTAGAATTAAACACAAGCGAAATAATAGGTGACGTAAACAACAACAAAAAAAAGTCTCTGCTACAAAATATAAAAAAAAAAAAACATGGTAAAAATATTTAGGAACCAATAACATGTAAAATTGTAAAATAATGACTATATTTTTTTTTTATTGACAAAATATTTTACATTTCGCAAACCAAACGAGTACAATTGTACTGTTATCGTATGATTTTTATTCGATAGCTGTAAAATCTTAGTAGTATAATATTTATATATATATTTTAAACTAATTTATGCTATTAGCCGAGCTGTAGTGGTTTATACATTGTTTAGTAAAATTTAAGAAAAATAATCGATAGCCCTGTAATTTAATACCGTTACGTATAGTTACTGGAAAAAATCAAATCCGTTAAACGAGACGCAGTTTTAAATTCGTGTCTTGTATCGAACAACGTGCAAACTTTTTAAGCGTTTCTATTTGACGAAAAGTGTAAATCAACACAAAAATTATTGACTTTTGTTTTGTAATTTTTCTCACAAACAATTTAAAAAAAACTATAATAGCGTAGTTTTAAGTGTCTGTTTTTTTTTATTTATAAAACGGTAAAAAAATATTTGTATATTTTAAAGACGTCAAATGTGTTCTCATTTAGTTTATTTGAATTAAAGACAATAATGTTAACACATTCTTTTCTAATTCGGTTCAAGCTTAAAAATCCAAATCAAGTGGAATGTATTATTACACTTTTTTATTTTTTTTTGCTTTTACAAAGAATTATTTAAAATATTGAGTAAGTGTGTATAATCAGTGTCAATTTATTTTTTTAATAGATTTAAATAAACTATTATAAATGTGTAATAATAATTTTGTAAATTATCATACGTATCCGTCGAGTTACGTTTAAAAAAAAGTCATCGTGCCTAACTCTACGGATGATAATTAACTGTAAAAAAAAGAAAATGTACAAAATGTAAATTTACAATTATTAAATCAGACATTAATGACATAATAAAAAGTTTAGTTTGGCAATGAATGAGAATGTTCGATACCGTCTGACCGCCAACTGTCGGAGGTCGACAACGGCCATCAAACGGACGTAGCGGTCGACTTGAACGGCGAATGAGTGACCGACGACGTGCCCAAGGAGTTGCACTGTGCCGCCACGGGCTGAGCTGTCAGTTTACTTTCCATGTTGAAACAATACAACAGTGCGGCACCGACCGAACTGCGTCTGGTCGGCATCGGAGTGGACATCGTCCAGCGGTTAACGCGTGGATCGTATCGTTCGGTCGAGTGGAGACTGGAGTTGCTGTCGTTGCCACCGAGAACCATTAGGCCACCGTCCAATTCCACAACGTCATGTGTAGCTCTAAACACAACATGACAACGTTAAACAAAAACTTATAGCATTATTGTCTACTATATTTTTTTTAGTTAAAACACTTGTATAGCTGAAGAAATTCTATAGTTTATATAATATACAGACAAAATAATATCTCCAACTGAATTGCAAAAGTATTATTATAGTAATTTTAATGTTTCTGAGTTCTGTCACATGATGATGTTTTTGGACTCTCTAAAGTCAATTTTTTTTTAAATATTAAGCATATTTGCTATTAATGGAAAAATATACAATAACCGCATATTATCTATTGTATAGACTGAATTAATGTAGCCTGGAGGACTTAAGTCTCTGCATTTGCTCCCCTCACTAATTAAACTTTAATTACAAGTGTGGAACTTTTTTTTTAATAAAAACTAGTTCATTTTTCAAATTTCCTGTTATTAGATAACGGCATTAATTGAGTACATACACACTCAAATCCCAAGATCCTTAAGTAATCCAATGAAAACACATATGATTGTTGTAAAGATTGCCTCACTAACTCTACACAGGGTAGATTAAAATTAGGTAAGTTCCTTTGCAGTAAATGTAAAGTACTGTAATTTATTTGTAATGTTAATTGTTTTAAATAGGAACGTTTTTTAAGTTTGAAAAAAAAACGAGCTCTAAGTACTTCCAGCCCAGTTACAATGCTTTTATTTCTATAGGTTCTACCATCTAAGAGAGCATTCACCGAACGTCTAACCTAACCTTGCCATCATCGAAGCGTTTATTTAGATTTTGAGAGTGATCTCGTCATTTAATTTCGCTTATTTCCTGTAGAGCTTTGACATTGTGTAAGTACCTTCGACATTGCATAGTGGCTATGGGCTCCCACGCGTTCCTTCTGATGTTTAACCGTTCGCCGCTGGACATGCACATGGTGCCGTCGTTGCCACCAATGCAGTACAGCATGTCGTCTAACGTGGCTACCGCACAGCTACTGCGCCTGCTGCTCATTGCCGGCACTGACATCCATTTGCTCATCCTGGGGTCGTATCTCTCCACGCTCGATTGGTAGTTGGTCGAGTCGAATCCGCCCAAAGCGTACAGACAGTTGTCTAGAAGTAAAAATACACAAATTAGTCCAAGAGATTTGTCTTCCACTTCGAAGGAGAGACGTACGAATCGTGAATACGTTTGCCAATGCACCCACCCACTCCTAATTATAACATTGAACGTCTAACACCATAAAATAGATGAGTTTACTTATTTAGGTTCAATTGTACAAGCAGATGGGAACAGCAAGTTGCGGCTGCTTAAGGCCTTACTTACCTTCTCAGTGACGCTTTATGGATCTGAAACATGGACACTCAAAGTGGAAGATGTAAAGCGCATAAACGCCTTTGAGATGTGGGCCTACAGACGGATGCTGAGAATCTCTTAAATGGAAAAGTGCAAACAAGACTGGCAGTGGTGTGTAAGCAGAGGATCCTAAGGTTCTTTGGCCACATCATAAGAAGGGATGGATCGAGCCTGGATAAGCTGATGATCGAAGGGAAAAGAAGCCGTGGGAGAACACCAATGCGTTGGATAGACCAGATCAAGACCATCTCTGGCTATCCCCTGGAAGAGGCCATTCGATCGGCAGAAAACCGAGAGCTTTGGAAAGGGATTGTTGCCAACGTCAACTGAGGGGTCTTCCGTTTCTGGAAGATGGACTTAAGAAGAAAATTACATCTCACACGATTCACCTAGTAGCTTATAAAAAAAAAGATGAGTGGTAAGGGATAAGGAGACAAGGGATGAGAAATGAGTAGAGATAAAATCATAATCCTGTTAATTTTGATTAATTGGCATATTAACTTGATATGTGTGACCTAACCTAAAGCATTGTAACCGTTTACTTACCGACTACTGACACGCGGCAGTATCTACGACGGGTAGTCATGCTGGGGCACGATGACCAAACACCCGTCAAGGGGTCATAACGTTCAACGCTGCTCAAACACGAAGCCCCGTCGAAGCCACCGCAAACGTACAAAAGCCCGTGATTGGCGCTAATGCCCAAGCAGCTTCTCTTGGTGCCCAGCGAAGTGACGGACGACCACGTGTTGTAGTTCGGATCGTAGCACTCGGCCGAAGACAAGTCCACGATGCCGTCGTACCTGTTTGGGAATATAACCATTCAACAATCAACGAACACACGACTTTGGGACTTGGCTCGAGAAAGGATGTCCCAAGACAACTGAGAGTAGTGCTCGTATGTATGCGTTTACTGTATGAAAGTTCTTTACCAAATGAGCTTGGTAGAAAGTGTAATTCGGTATTACGAGCACTACTCTCAGTTATTTTGGCACACCCTTCGTAGCTTCATTTTGTCCTTCTGTCCACACATCTCCAGGTCATAAAATCCAGCCGCTTCTTCTTCGGTCTACCTCGTCTCTCCTCCCTTGACAAAACCTAAAAACGTGATCGTGCTTCTATATTTCTAGCTTTAGCTCCCAATGCCTTCCTCCATCGATATCGGTCTCTTCTGTATACACTTGGCTGTTTCCATTAATGGCCACCACGCGTTTATTCTTAAGTCTTTCCTACGATCGCCCACTTTTCTCTCGTGCTCTTACCACTCACTAGGCTTCTCAACAATTAATCACATTAGATCTACAAGAGATTCACTTACCCTCCAATGGCGTAGATCAATTTGCCCAGCGACACGATACCCGCACGGCTTCTACACTTGGACATGGGAGCGATTGGTAGCCATCGGTCGTGTCTCGGGTTGTAACACTCGCCAGCACTGTGTATAGTGAACAGGCTGCCACCTCCTGCGTAAATCAAACGGTAAGTCGGTCATATTTTTAATTTTACCAAGGCCAAAATCCAAAAAATGGTCGTCATTTTTCGTTTACTAATAAACACTTTAGTACAATAATTGCTGGTGGTCCGAGATCCAGGGGAGTGAGGATTTCTACGAAAACTGTGATTATCTTGATTGAAAAATTAAATTTTAACGATTCTAGTTTGCTTTCAGATGGTAACGTGCATTTAGAAGAAAATTACTTACATGATGTGATTTATGATTGAAAGAGGAGTGAGGTAAGTGAAAACTACATCCACCAATTCAGCCTATCGCCACGTTGTTAATGCATATAAACTGCTTCCCAAACAAAGTCAACATTGGAGGCAAAAAGTAAACATTTCTCAAACCATCCCTGGCTACATATTCAAAACTTGGCAGGACAGTGAGGTACCAATGACGGGACACGCCACAAAATGTGATCCCTATTGTTTACTATTGATTCATATGATTGGCAAACTTACCAATGGCAAAGATGTAAGGCATCAGACCGTCGGGACTTCTCTGTTCCGTCTGTTTGCTAGCGAAGTCGGATCTTTGATCAGGCAACAGATGGTACTTCATGGCACCCAACAACAAGTCTTTGCAACTGGGCTCGCTACGAACTAGCGGTTCGGTTTCCACTACGTTCAGCAAGAACATCTTGGACATCTGAGCCAATCGCACGTGCCCCAACAGCTAGAAAACCCGTTTGCAAAAATCGTTATTCAATAAGGCCGCAATTAGCCAGATAAGTACCGTCTAAAAACCCTATCTAAATACCCCGACCTATACTTAAAGTAGGTAAGCTAAAATATTTCCCAACCTTAGCGATGTGCTGAGACCGTTCGCTTGGATTGTGTTTGATCCAATCCATAACGGCTAAGAACACTTGCTCTTCCGACACGACGTTCAATTTATCATTCGATATTAAATCTTCCACCTAAACAAACCAAGAACAATGTTGAATATAGATCATTCCACAACGTAAAAAAAGCAACATATTTCGCTTGCTAATTTCTTATAGCCGCTAAAAAATGTGTATATTTACACAATTCTGGTTCTTACAATCACATTCATTACCTGATTTTTTAGTAAAAAAAAACGGTTTTATTTTAAATGCGACTGTGAACAACTATGAAGTCGGAAACGTTTTATGTAATTTTTTTAAGTTTTTTAACCAACGCGTCTTTATAGTATACCAAAAACTCATGCTTCTTGTAATGTCAAGTTCTTTTGCCATTTGAGATAAATGTATTACCTCCCTCAAGACACACCTTGGTGGGAAGCCCCTTCTTGTCCGTTTTGACACGGATATGTCTTTTGGCTGGTGGTTAATAAGAAAATCTTATACGTGCGTGCATCACGCTGAACGTTACCGAAGAAATGTGGCACGATCTAGCGGTTGTAAGTGATTACATAGTATTAGAGATAAGAGATTAGGTACTCTAGGGATTATGGAGAAGTATTAATAGAGATAAGATATTAGATATTAGATTACAGGACATATCCATGTATTGATACTCTCGACTTTTTTAATATCAGTGGAAAGGGAAAGAAATTTGGCACTGAAAATTAAGTGTTTTTCTTATTGCAGCGAGTCAGCCGAGATAAAATGTGACCCAAAAAGAATCATACAATTTGGCCAAGTAGTTCTTGAGAAAAGATTCTTCAAACAACTCGTTTGTAAGTAAACAGCCTTACAAAACATTATTTGATGCGCTAAATAAAAATACATTTTGAGTAATGGCAGTGAGACTATCTTTACATTTTGGGGTCGTCGAGTTAGGAAACAATTTTGAGTGTTTCTACCAAACCGTATATACAACATAAGACCACAAGCCACAGCCGGCGTGTAGAAACGACACTGTAAAGATAAATTCGACGGCGTTTCGCAAAGGGTGGATATCCTTATTAATCTACCTCCACTCCCCTCTATTGTGCTATACTACATTCCCTCCTCCCCGAAAAAAGGGTTTTCCCCGTCCATGTCGGTCCGTCTGCGCTTGGCTAACAACCGTAAACTCAAATGTTTTTGACCTTTCGAGGGCCCGTCCCAGACGAGTTTTACCGCCGCCATCGCATAAAACAAACGGCTTGTATAGTTTAATATATCATTATTATTACTATTATACACTAAACGCCTTACCTCGGAAAACGACAGAAATAGGAACTCTTCGGTTTTCACGACTTCTTCGAAATTCTGCAGAGCGTAACGATGCGATCTTGTTCTCAGTTCGTTACAAGAATGGGTTTCTGGAAAATATAAAAATAAAATCTATCTTTCCATTTTGAAGAAAAGATATCGGATATTCAACGTAATTATTATCTTATGATGAGCCGATTGTATTTTATTTATCATCTCTTCTCACTGATTATTTTATCAATCAGCTCTTATCAGTGTTCTAGGAATTTATTGATTTCCCCTTATCACCCCCTCCCCATCACTATCTCAAAGTAACGGATTTAACCTATAGATAATCGTACCTGTTTTTATTTCCTGGTTAAATATTAAAAAATAAATTTAAGCCTTTTTTTGTTAATTATTCAAAGGCGGGTTTGAAACAGAATTTTATGTACAATTTTCAGTTAAAAAGTTGTTAAATGAAAGTTTAAAATGTACTGAACATTTTCATACAAATATTTGAACTATTTATAGGTCTTCTTAACTATTATAATAGATAAGCTAACTGTGATAAGGAGGAGTGAAAACATATAAATAGCGATAAGAGAAAAAATGGTGGATCAAATATTAGGATAGGCGATAAGAGATAAGGAGAGATGATACGTTTTTAAGAGTGGATTACAATAAGACAAATTCACGATTCATAATATGTTTGTTTTTAGAATAGGAAGAAATATTGTATACTATTACAAATTACAATGTCGATTCGCTTGTCGAACCTGAGTGAAAGACAGTAATGGAAAAGCGTCTACTACTACAATGTGTGTATTATTAACTTACCGGCAAACTGTCTGATGCCCAAACAGTTGGTGGGATGCAACTGTTTCATTAGGAAAGTACAACACGCGTCTCGGACCGAATTGATTTGCAGTAAAGACGAGGCGGGCAGTAGAACCTAAAAGGAAGCGCAAGAATAATAATAATAATTACTAATTAGTATCCATGTCCATTAGGGTACAGTTTATTATGTCAATATGATAGCCAGACACGGTATATTCGACCTGCCTTTGACAGCATAAGCAAATTGGGCGTGTTCACGAACAAATGCCACGAATATTATGTCAGCAGCTAATGGACCGATTAAGGTCACAGTCTAAAATAATTTATTCTTCCTTAGGGAATTCAAACTGTAATACTAGTTAAAGTTTATTATACCCAACGATATAGTTTCCATACAAAGAATGGAAAATGAGTATTATTCAAATCATTTTACTACCACAATTATAATTTCGAGTAGTAGAAACAAATATTTTAGGATAAAATTGTCTTTTTATTTTCTCTTTTCGTGAAGCTAATCATAACATTTTCGAGCTAAATCTGAAAACTTCGAATTATTCCACTTTTACTATTCTTATCAGTTTTGTTATCATATCTGTTATCAGCTGATATTTTGCCTAATCAATCGCCATTATTATCACTATCATGTCTGTAATAAATGAATTTATTCTTATCAGTTGATAAGAATCAATAATATGGTTATATTTTTGACCACCTTAAAATTTCTTTAAGCTTCAAATTCTTCAAATAAATATGTACAATATTAGAAAACTCGAATTTCACGAAAATTGTCTTTTTGGTTGTACTAAATAGACGTCTCGAGAAAATAGTATTTATGCAACTTTAATAAACATCAATTTATTTATCCGTTAACAATAGTTGGCGCTCGCAGATTTTTTAAGAAAAAGTTGTTAGTATAGAAAAAAACTTGAATATAATCCTTATAATGTTGTTATAAAAGCACCTGCGTGGAAAGAAACAATACAAATTATATTATGTAATAATTTATTTGAAGCATCCAACAACTCTTGTAAACCTCTTAACGTCAAAGATACCTTTGTTTCCAGTACATCTTTTTAGAAAAACACAATGGCGTTTGGTACCCTGCTGATTTTTTTTTCATTTCGAGTAGCCCTAAGGGCATTGTAACAGAATCATTTTACAAAACGCATTCAACCCCTCCGGTACTTCGTATCTAGGTCAAGTCTAACATGTACATCCCGATGAGAAAAACGATGATTCTGCCTTTTCATAAAATGTATGCCTATAGAAATTCCAATGTGTTTGTGTCGACACAGAAAAACCATCGAATTTAACTTGTATTGAACGCATAATGTTTTCGTGGTCAAACGTTTATTACTCCCATTTTTTTTTTTTTTTTTAATAATAACTCCTAAAACTTAGTTCCAAAGCTCAAAAGCGGTACAAAAACATGCAATATGATATAATTAACTTGTCGGTTACAAATTATGTTTCTTTTTATGGTCAAGCGAAATCTAGGTCAAAGCCAAAGTACACACAACGTACCCTATAACAAATAGCTTTACTTCCGACACCAACTAATATACTTTGGAAATAATGTTGTTATTGATGTAAACAAATTAATTTCGATTAAAGCCGTTTCGTTGTGCTTTATTGTATAAAACCATGTTCAAAACGAGTGCAAACAGTCTATAGTGTTGTGTGCAAAACGAATATTGTTTATTGTGTATATATTTTAAAAGAGCATAAATTAATTTATTCTCTTTGTACGTTTTACATTCCTATTTAACGATTTTTTTCCATCATAACATTATAATAACTAGTTATGTTTTTTTTCAAATTCAAACCCTACACTATCGTACCAACACCCATTAGCGTTTTTTTAGCTCTTAGTAGTCAATATTATACAGAGTAAGTATGTGAAACCGATAGTTACCGCATTTACCTACGACCTATGGTTCTCTATAAAATCTATTTTAAATTATCGATGCACATAGTAGGTCGCTTGTTATTCATGTGGATCTTCGATTTGTTAATTGAAGAAGCAATGAAAAATTCCAGGCAAAAGTGGAAGAATCTAAGAGCCACTGCAGCCCATATTCAATTACCTAATGAGAAGGAAAAGTAGAAGAAATTGCTTCCTTTTCAAGAAGAAACATAATCTTAACTGAACATTCACCTAATAGTTTATAATAAGAATGAGTGAAAATGAGAAGTGATAAAAGATATTAATATACTAATAATAGAATTTTTCAAGAGAAGAAGTAACAAATTGATTAGGTATTGAAGAATGGATTCAACTGTCACAAACGTCAAGGAAGGTTTTGGCTAAGTTAGTTTTAAATTTGGTAGAAATTATCAATTTTAATGGTTGTAGTAATTATGAGACCGAGAGACTAACAGAGAAACACGTCGATTGGGACCTCTAAACTGAACTTCAGAAAGAATAAATGAAGCATCAATTGACCCTTCAATAAGGTTACGCAAGAATGGCAACTGTTTAATCGGTAACAAATGAAGGACTTAGATGGTGAAGCATATTGAAGTAGTCATGTCTTGGGCAGTTTTTTTTTAAGGGTACAAGAGCAACAAACTTAAGAAAACGGCTCAAATGGTCAGAAATTCAAGCGTGGCATGTGGATCTAACCAGGGAACAGATTCAGGTTTAAGTGATTTACACCAGAAAACGCCTAACCTAACCTATCATCTACTCGACTGTGACTTTCAATAACTTTTGCGTCGACCTGGTATAAGCCTCAAGTGATGTTTAATCTTGTTCAAAATAATCGTCAACATACCTGTACGTTATCGTCAGTTATGTGAACTTGTCCGGTGTATGAGTACTCGACCAAGAGCTGCAGAGCTCCTAAGTCGACGTCGTGTAACACTACTTCGGGTTGACACTTTTCGGCCATATCGTCTGTGCACATAACAATACAAAAGTGTATTTCAATTGTGTATACTTCTTACAAGGAATTCGATATGTCATACTAAATTATAACACCCACCGTTGAACATGGCATAAAAATATGGGCTGCACGATGCCAACACCAGTCTGTGAGCTTTGGTGACGGTGGATCCTATTCGGAGGGAAACGTCGCACAGCTATATAGGCACACCATTAAAAATAATTTGTATCATATACGATGGACTTTATCAGGAGTCCTTCGTTTCCATGTTTTTTTTTTAATTAACACTCGTGGCTCGAGTCAAGAAGGGTCAATTACCCATTTGTTGTTTTTGACAATGAAACATCAAAGTTGTCAACATACACGATTAGGAATTTGGTCCCAACGTATCAAACCTCTTCCAGACTTTTTCAGAAGATTTATGGATTTATTCACGGGTTTCCTTGATCAATATGCTCCGTCCACACAACACCCTGGCTTGCCTAAGTCCCCCACTTAATTCCTGCCAAATTATAAGTGGAAATTGTAAATTTACCTGTATGTTGACTCGCATTTTATTGATGACCGAAAACGACGACATAGGATGTTCCGGATCGTGGTGCAAGTAACAAGACATGGGTTCAGGCGACTCGCAAGTCGGCGGCGTCTCCTCGACAGTTTCTTCCAGCTCTGCAATTGAAAAACGAAAAGAATATAATACAATAAAAACGATTTTGGGGCTGTGCAAGGGGAAGGACCGAGAAGACGTTATGTTTTTAGTGGTCGTAAAAATACTTTTTACACTCAAACTACGGCCAAAGTTGCCAGACGCCAAAGGCACTACGATGGCGCCACGGTAGGTCGCCCGCATTGTTAAATGTTTCTACCCTGTCCTGTCGCCTATTCCTATAGGAAATGGTTTGTGAACACTTTACACTTTTGCATGTAAAAAAGAGTGTGAAAGAGGTAGTAGCCTCTCCATTGATACGTTAGTCTACTAAATATAACTGATAAACTATACTCTATGCTAATTACACAGCATTTCTAATAAATTGTGACTGGTGACTTTCGAGATTTGGCGGAATCATTCAATCATCGTACACCAAAAGTAGCCAAAAAATTAAACAAGACTGTTCTTAAATGAATCGCTTATTCGAGAAATGGAACATATTAATTTGATTAGCCACTATGTATATAATATAATGGAAAAAAACTGTTTAACGTGAAATACTAACATATTATTCATTGGTAGCTAAGAAGGCCAATGAAGCCCAATTTAACGGACAGACAATTGTCTATACGAAATCGTATGCAATTGGTACTTTGGTGGGCTAAACGTTTTTTTTTTAAGCACATTTATTTGTGTACAATGTTTCTATACTTGAAAAATCGGTCAGTTAATAATGCATTTTTTTAACATTTCTTTAACAAGTTTTTTATTTACTAATTTACTCGATTTATATAATAAAGCCAAAACACATCCTACACATCTATCTTTAGTTATCTCAAGAAAATTTTTTTAAGACTTATTTATATGTTCTCTAAGTTTTTTTTTTTTTTTTATGAGGGATGGGGAACTCTTGAAATATTAACATTTTTTTATCTAGACTCAAACCGGGAGCAGTGCCGACAATAGTGACCACGTTACTTACACGTGTACCAGCCGTCTGTAAACCCAAGTTGTCAATCTATACTACCGTCACTTATGTCGTTAAGTCGAAAAGCAGATACTGCAAAGTACCTATGAGTATATAGCGTGTGCGCTTTAAGTCTGATTAGCAAATTGCTTCGTCGTGTCTGGTCACCTAAACGGACCGGAGACACGCGACGGCGTCGACCGTTTGAAGAAATACCACATAAATAAAATATACATAATAATAATAGACACCGTGCATTTTACCGTTTATACGCTTGGTCGATACTTTATACTTTCCAGACTTGGATACGATTTTATAATAATATTATATTACCTACGCTTAAAGTAACGCACAAGGCAACACTCGATAAAAATCCATTCTAAGAAAATGCAAATAATTTTGTATACTTAACTGTTAAAACATCTGTTTAGTCGATATGACGTCTTTGGACATGGCGCCCTTGGATCGGTGCCAGAAATTAATTATCTCTGCGCTAATACCATAATATCATTCATAGTGTATATATATTATATGTATACAGGGTGATCCAACTAACGTAAATGTACTCTGTATCATATAATAAATAACCTGTAACCTAAGTAATCTGTAGATAAGAACCGTTTGTCTATCATTATTTCAAAATATTTATATAGTGACTTCCTAGTTGTTAGAATAATTGCAATATTATGCAATAATTGGACAATGCGGACATAAATATGAATTTTATGTGCTACCGATTTTGAAAAACCGAAGTTATTATTAAGTGTAAATTAAGTGTCTTTACAAAGTCACAACTAATGAACAGATAAATGAAAATAAATAATTCAAACGCTAACATATTTTTAAATTGTTTGTTTACAAATTTATGTAATTAAAAACATGTGTTGCCATTTAAAAAAACCAAAAATCCCTCTTATTTTTGGCTTATAAGGCTTGTATTGGTGATACAAATTTTCAAAAAATGTAGTAAAATATGTACCTAAAAGTTTAGGAAAAAAAAAGTTCTCAAAATATTCATATTTTCAAAGAAAATGAGTGTCTTGCGTTAGTAGTTGGATCACCCTGTATATCATAATCACTACCATATCTGCTGTCTTACATTAAATGGATCACCCTATGTATCTGAGACCTACTACAAAATGTACATAAAACAATATGGTAAATCTTAAGTAATTTTACACCGTCGTTTGCCGTTTATATTGCAATATTATTAACCATTAGATTCATTACACATTAAAAGCACATCGTTAATTAATAAAGCAATGTTTTGCTTTAAACAATATTATACTAATAACGTGCAATCAACAGGTCGCGTGTCAGGATACGATGCGACCTGTTGGTTTCTTACCAATATAGAAATACAATAATATATCTTCAAACAAAAACCGATAACGTCATGCCCGGTGGCCTTCCTATATGTCATACACAAAGACAGAAGTTTATAGACAAACGCGAACGTGACTTACCCATTGCAAACCATACTTGTAATATACAATAATAATACTAATATGACGTTTGTAAAGTATTGCAAAACACACTGCACTTGAGATTTCCCATTTTTTAATGTAGTAGCAAACTTAAGCGGCTTCCATTGGAAAAAGGAACCTATATTTTTTTATTAAACCAGTAAAGAAAACCATATCCAAACTACGTTGTACGGTTTGAAACTATTAAACGCCACAAAGTGCACGATTTAGTTTATTGTCTTTCTTTAAACCGATTTTCTTTACTTAAATTTAAAATTTGTTTCAAGTTATTTATGACAATAATCGACGTTTTGGAATGACACAAATAAAACTATCCTAATTGATTAAAAAAATAATAATAACAAGGTTTGTATTTAAATTGTTTGGGGAAAAAAATGGCGATTAAAGCTTCGACTTACAACAAATAGATCTATTTTTTTCTTTTCTAATTTTATCTTACATTATGCAAAAATAAAAATAACACAGTTTTATTTTGTCAATAAAATTATTAATATATTTATAACAGTACAAAGCGTTTATTCGAAAGCGATTTTATCACTTTTAAAGTCCTATTTAATACATTAATAATTGAGACACAAAAAACTATTTTTCTAGGTACCTTTTTTTAACTTTATATTTTGTCAAATTTATTACCATTTAACGGGTTGATTTAATTTATAAAAATATTAATTTTTAATTTTATACTTAGCCTAAAGATTTCTTAAAAGTTGTTAAATCTGACCTATTTGTTCTAATCAAAACTTTTAAAATTGAAAGTTTATATTTATTTAGTAAAATACTTGTTCTACTTATGAAATGTAACATTTTTCATTCAATAAAACATGCACAATATTATATTAACATGGTTGAAAAAATAAAAAGTGTCATATAGAAATTAATATTAACTTTGAGGAGAATATTACAACACTTTATTCTTTGTAAGACTTTTTCAATCACAGTTGTACTTTGGTTTATGAAATAACACTAATGTGGCTTTTTTTGCTAGTAAAAAAAAATTATATTTTCTTATTTCAGTGCGTTCCAATAAAAAAAAGACATTGATCTAATAAGTGTCTCAATTACTATTGTATGTATTAATCTTTATTTCCTTTCTATATATAATTATTATTATTATTATTTATATGTATCGTTGGCACGATTAATAATACACACGTGTAGTGTACAGGAACACTACTGCGCACGTGTCAAGATGATAATTTCTTGGATCAAGACCAAAGGAAAGTGGACTTGAAATATAATAATATATATATATATATATATATATATCTTATATATATATATATTATATATATATTTATATATAAAGAAAAACACCGACTTTTTTTTTATCATGCGTATGCGTTTCCCATTGTTGTTGTTTTTTTTTTTTGTTCAGCAACTAATTAATTATTACTCCTATTCTTAGGATTTTTTTTTGTTGTCGCAATAATAATAATTCACTTGCAACGCAGATGAGACCGCTCTATTATTTTATTTTCCACGAACACAACCTTCATTAGAACGTATTATTAGTAGATATTGGTATCTGCTGGCTTCGATTTACAGGCAAAATGCAACAGTCATTACCATAAGAACAAAAAGCACAAAGAAGTGCGTTCCAAACATGACATTACTTCGGATTACACAGCTGTGCTATGGTCGTTTTTACTAAGCAAGTAAGTAAGACTGTAAATAAAGGAAGTAAGTCGTTTCTTCAAAGAGTAAAACGGTGCAGAATTGAGTAAATTATTGATAGTTAAAAATAGTAATAGAAAATAACCAGAGAAACGTTAATAAAGTTTTCTTTACTCTACAGGAAACATAATTTAAAATTGAATGCAAAAAATGTGTTAATCTGTGTTAGGACCGATTTACTTATTTATAATTATTCAAAAGGTAATTTAAAAACAACAAAAAAGTCGTTTATAGAATTTAAATTTAAAAGTAGTGAAAATAACTTTTGTAATAAAAAAAAATTAAATATTTAATCATGTATAATTCAGCTTCATCAAAAAAACTATTTTGGTTGTCCAATCATCTAACCTAGTCATGTACTGTCAACAGTAAATAATAAACACAAACGTTTTTTTTTCAAGTATACAACATGTTTTAATTGTTTTTAAATGAGCAGCTAAATTGTTTTATTTTATTTGAATGTCTACTACAAATGAAACTTAATTAAAATATACCGGAAGTACCTATGTTGTAAAATAAATACATTAATTTTATAAAAGCTAAAATCTTAAACTTTGAGTTCATATTTTTAAAGTTTTTTTACTATTTAAATAACGCAAATTAATTATTATTAATGGATAATAACTATAATTTTGTTATTAGTTGTCATTAAATAGATCGATTTTAATTTTTTTTTGTTAAACTGTTTCAAAGAAAACTTGCATTTCATTTACTCTGTTTTTTTACTGAAAATTTTATTTTACATATAGGTAATATTTGAGTTCACTTGTAATCATCAGTAATTCAGCATAATCAAGTATTTTTATTACATAATTTTTTTTATAGTTTTCTGTATTATTATACATGGAAATTATATGAGCCATCAATGTTTTTGTTTGAAGTATTTTTTTAG